TAATATAATAAATCCATGATAGAAGTAATGTAGTATCTTTTATAGAAAAAATATTAATTATTTAAGATAGATAAAATTTTCTAAAATAATATTTATATAAGAAGAATATTTAAAATAGGATTTTTTTACTAATTCATGAAATTTCAATTACTAGCTAAAACTTGGCCAACAAAGAGGCCACATGTCGACATGTTGACCACTTGTAGTATAAGCTGGACATATGGCACACACCTAAGAAACTTGCCTTGCAAATTAGACATGTGCTTTACAAGTTGGACACGTATTAGAAGTCCTATAGCTTGTCGCCACATAGTTCTTAGTTACGTAGTATATATAGAGGCAAGAGTGAGACCTTCCTCACTATTGTCAACTCCTTTCTTGCTTTTAGTCTAATTTCAAGAGTCTTTTGTTTTCTAGTCTTTGGCAATAGCCATTCCAGTTCTTCCTTGAATATACATATTTTCTTCTATTTTGTCACTTTTCTTTTGACACAAATTCTACAAGTTTATATATCTTCTTCAAGTTTGTGTTCTTGACAGTATCTTAATTAATCATATTAATATTATTATAAAAATCAAATTATACATACTTAAACTTAACTATTTTTTTGGTAATATTTTTTGATTCTTCTAAATATGTTACATACAAAACTATGACAATAATAGTTTATTAAGATAACTCAATAATATTTTTAAAATTATATATATATATATATATATATATATATATATCTTTAAAATTGAGGAAAAACTTTGAATTAAAAATTCTAGTTAATTATCATTAAAAACAACATCCCAAGGTATGCTATCAATTTCAGAAATTAATTTAAATCCAAGATATTTTTTTAAACATTTGATTCTCATCAATTTACATACTAATTTTATATGTGCTTTGATAAATCTCATAAAATAGAATTAGATATTTATATCATCAAAAATTTAAAAAAATATTGTAGATATTATTTTTTATTTAAAATATATTTATAGATTTTAATTAATATAAAAATTAAAAACCAAATCCTATAAATTTTAATTCAATTCATTTCAATTTTTTGTAAATTAAACAGACATAAAAATTAATTTGAAAGATAATAAATAGAAAATAAATTTAAAGAAAATTAAATATTATTAAATAAAAATAATAATAATGGTTGGAGTTTTTTGTAATGTCTTAAAAGCTTGATATAAAAAATCAATTGTCAATTTTATGTTCAGCATAATTAAAGCTGAATTTTAATATTAGTTATAGAATTCTATATATTCCAATAATTAAATAGTGGTGACAATAAAAGTTTTAAAAAGAAATCAATAATTTACTTGGATCATCTATTGATAAGTAGCTAAAAATAATTTATTTGAAAATAAAATTAAAAATTAAAATAGATTTATATCAAGAATAATAGCATCATTTGTGTATTTTAGGTGTAATGCTATTGTCTTAGTTTTTATAATAAATTAAATTTTGTCAAAACATTAGCACACATAAGCAAATACAAACATATAATTTTTTTAAAAAGACATTTATAAAAATAGTACATAATTTATGTATAAATAAAGCTAAAAACATTATTTTTTTATTACCTATTAAACATATTCTATTATTTGTATAGAAATATTTATTTATTTATTTATTTTTTTATTTATACTTAACTTATCATTATACTATTATGTATTTATAAAGTTTATAAAATAACTATTATATATAAAACGTAAATAGAAATATAAATTTTAAATAATTAATTCCTTAAAAACTAATAACTTTCAATAGTAAATAAAAAAATTAATAAAATGACTCCAACTAGAATCTAGATATCTAAATTTTGTTGTTGTTTTTATGGTTAACAATCTTTGATAACTAATGCATTTTTTCTAACAAAAAAGATGACAATAATTAGTAGGAAATTTTTATTATATATATATATATATATATATATATATATATATTCTACTTCTTTGCTTCAAATCCATCTTCCATATCAAAAAATTGAGAGAATTTTAATGAATATTATTTATAATCTATTTCATAAAGGATATTATATTTTGAATGATAAAAGTTTTAGTAGGTAATGTTTGGCATTCTCTATTTTGTGCTTAAAATAATTAGCCAAAGTTCTCCATAATTTTAATTTTGATCTTATAAGCATAAAGTGCATGTACTTTTTTCAACTATTTACATTATTTTAGAACAATTTATATCAACAAAATACAATAGGCATGACAAGACTTCATATCATATAATTTTTGTGAGCATATTTAAACATTAAAATTATGTTTTATCACTTTTTAACATGCTTATCCTCAAAAACTATAGAAAATTAATATAATCCAAAATATTTTAAAAACAAATTAAAATATTTCTTAAATAAAACAAAAAATTCTTTGAGCCATATGTTCCACAATAAAATAATTAGTTAATTTATATCATTGAATTAAGTAAAGTTAAAATCAATTGATTCAAAATAAAAATAAAATGAAAAATATAATATAATATAAAATGTTTTCTAGGTTCAGGAAGTGATTATAGAAAGATACATGAGGTAGAATCCCACATCAATTCCATTCCTAAAAATGTTTTCAAAGTATATACAAGAAGGGGTGGGGATGCATGGGGAAGACCACCAGCACATGGTGGGTGTGGGGGGTCCTTTTGTTCCATTGCGAAGCAAAGGACACATGCCTGCCTGCCTGCCTGCCCACAACCCATTTTGGGCCCCATTAATAGATTGATAGAGTGGAGATGGATGCATCCATGGCTGGCCCCTCCCTCAGCCACCACCACCACCACCATTCACACTTGCACCCACTTGCACTCTCTCACTCTCACAAAAGAGAGAGTGCCACTCACAATGCAAAAGGAAGGATATGAAGAAGAGTATGAAGAGTGTGAGGAGGAGGAGTATGAGGAAGATGAGGCAACCACCACCCAACCCCACCTTCCCTTCCCTTCCCTTCCCCCTGTGCCCGACCCCTTCCACCCACCAGGGTCCTGTTACCGTGTTATCATCCATCTACCATACATCCATTCATACACATCGAGGAGGACTTTCTCAGCGTGTAATTACACACATGATTGCGTCTGTAGTTGGTACGGAGGAGTAATCGTGGAACAAGGAAGGGTACCCCCACCACCGTCACCAGGATAGCTAGCCATGAATGTTCCGGCCGACTCATCAGGATTTCTTATTCTCCCCTTGGCAGGGGGCCATCGTCATG